TGGAGGGCTAACATTATTACCTTAATTCATCTTTTTAAATAAAAACTAAAATTGCGATTATACGAAATGCTTCCGTACATTTAACGATAACCAGAAACATCATTTATTGTATTAACGAAATTTTCGTTGCCCTTTGAATTATTTTCGTACAATGCACGCATATTCTTTTTCGGGGATACGAATGTTTCGTACTCAATACGAAAACAAAAATCATTTGCGATTGTGGCACGAAACTAGCTTCATAAAATGTACGAATCTATTTCGTATAAGATAACAACGAATGGATTCGTAGAACAAATGAGCGATTTCGTTGTATGAACGAAATTTTATGTTCAGTGTAAGGACAACTTTTTGAATAGGTCAAATTTCTTCAATTAAGTCCTTTGACATTAGCATCATGTTGAAGTGGCAGCGTATTCGTGATTTGTCCCGCGCACAAATATCACAAAAAGACATTTTCGTCTGACGTAGCTGTGGACCAGTGGACTGTTAGAAGAATTTTGTAAAGAGAAAATAAAGGACAATGATCTGCGAAGATATCTCCAGGTAGAGTTTTTGCTGCCATCAAGAGGAAGATTCGAGCAGAGTAGGCTGCTCGTGTAAACAAACATGACGTTCGTTTTTTTTTCTCGGAGTTTGTTATGCTTATATGGTTATTAATCCGGATAGATGTATCAAATAGCTTATCATTGTTATTTACTTTTTATTTTATTATAATACAATATGAATTTGGCCGGTTACTTTTGGTTATTTGGCTGAGATCATTCCTTTTTATTTATTTATACAGTAACCCCTCACTATCGTTTAAACATCAATTCAGCTTATCGTTTACCAAAACGAACCTTGCTGCAAACCCTACCCTCTTACCCAACATCCCAGTGACTCCTCGTGGAAGTGCAGAGGATTTCTCGGCTTCCATCAAAGCGAGTGTCACGTCAACACATTCCTACCCATTCCTTTCTTGACCTGCGTTCAGGCGCGGCTGGCGCTGGTATTGCCTAATTTGAGATCACCAGTTTTTACACATTGAGGATGATTGCTAGTCCCAAGCATCGTCTATTGGTTCTCTGTGTAATTACAGCTGATCTGGCAATAACAGAGTAGCAACCGTGGGCGGTCAATCATGCTCATGCTCATGCTCTTTACGTTATCGTTATCCAATTTTAAACTGAACCTGAATCAAAGAACGGCGGCCTAACATTTTAAAACGACACATAAACATTTATGAACAAACTTTTGTAGGACATTTACACGCAAACTGGATCGATTACGCATGCAAGCAATTAACCCTTTCCTTCCCTGTAGCCAAAATCGAGATCCATCTGTATTTCAATTTTCAGTATTTATCATTCTTATCCAAAATTATTAACATGCAAGGTTAGAACATACATTTTGTCATACCTATGTCTACGCGGATCATACCAGGAAAATTTATTTCAAATTTGTGTTATGTCCTTGAGCACTAGTACCATAACTGGCTCACTTACCCTATAGCAATAGAAGACATTTATGTTAAACCTTCTTTAGGTGTTAGGGTCAATATGACCCGAAAAGAACTTTCGAAACAGTGTAACTTTTTATGGTGAGCAACTAGAGGTCTGATTTTTCTTGACTTCTCCTAATTTCTGAGAACTAACATTTCTCGATTGATTTTAGAATATGTCCTTCATTTGTCGATTAACTTTATTCGCTTTCTATGGCGATCTGAGCGATGAATTTGCAATATCCGATGGATTTCCCTAATAAAAATTGTATGGTTAATTTGCTTAACGACGTGTTCTGGGTATCATCCAAACCATTTGTGGAATAGTTCAATGATTTGGGTTATCGTTCGTTTATGGTTATTTTTATTAGGGTTGCAAACCGAACAAAGTTAATCGATTCTTTGATCGACAAATGGAGATAGGACATATTCTAAAATCAATCTAGATTTCTGCATTGAAATTGTTTCTGAAGGGGTACAGAAAAAAAAGTTACGAATGTGGTGTTACGAGCCATATTGACCCGGATTTCAAACTATATTAGGACAAGTGTTTTGTATTAAAATCTAAATGTTTATATGGTCAAATTGTTTGTGAGAGTCTAAATTTTGAGTTTCTGGTATGTAAAACCGGTTTTAACGTGATTGGCCACTAATAATCGATGCCAAATGAAGTCAGGTTCGGCCACAGTACCGGTATGTTGATCATTCTTCAAGTAGCATTTCTAAACTTGTTTATCTCGTGATCTCGACCACCTAGAAATTTCAAGTCTTCAGCAAAGTTATTCAGAAGGCCAAGACCATCCGGCACATGGACAGTATGGTTCGGAATTATGTCAATACGTGGCGCTAGTGTGCATGTAAAAAAGATAATTTTTGAACTTATTTTATCTCGTGATTCCGACCATCTAGGAAGTTTAAATCTTCAACAAAGTTCAGAAAGCCAAGGCCGTCCGGCACATGGACAGTTTTGTTCGGAATTTTGTCACTAAGTGGCGCTAGTGTGCATGTTAAAAAGACCATTTTTTGAACTTGTTTTATCACCTAGAAAGTTCAAGTCTTGGGCCTTCACAAGATGGTCGCTATGGTTCGGAATTCTGGCACTACGTGGCACTAGTGTATGTAAAAAAGATCATTTTTGAACTTGTTTTATCTTGTGGTCCCGACCACCTAGAAAGTTCAAGTCTTCAGCAAAGCTGTTCAGAAAGCCAAGGGCGTTTGCAACATGGACTGTTTGGTTCGGAATTCTGGCACTACGAACTTGTTTTAGCTTGTTGTCCCGACCCGACCACCTAGAAAGTTCGACTCTTTAGCAAAGTTTTTCAAAAGACCAAGGGCGTCCACAAGATGGCCGCTATGGTTCGGAATTCCGTCACTACGTGGCACTATCTGTGTATGTGTGTATGAATTGAATCTGTTGATATTACCAAATAAATAAGTTAATAAATATACTAACCGTACTACATAAATTTAACAAAAAATGATAAATGTTGTACTATCGTGTCAGTAACAATATCAACTATAAACCTACATTTTATAATTTCCAGATATGATGGATATCACTTGTAAATGTTGTGGTTTGGAGCAGAAAATGTCAATTCTATATTATTCAATCATGACTACGGAATATTTCGCTCGGAACATATGCGTAAAAAATATTTTAAAGATAACTTCAGCTATGTTGAACCAGTACAAATAGAGATATCAGCTAACAGCAACCGTTACATTTACTATGTCCCTATTTTACGAACATTGGAATTGTTATTTTATGGAGGATTCGGACTCATCCCATCACTTTTTACCACTCATAGAAAGATTGACGGATATATGACGGATATATATACTTAGCGTCTTAGATTTTTGTTTTCAGTAAAAACGTTTCATTTATGATTTAGCGGTAGTAAAAAATACTCACGCATTTTCACATTCGTGCTGAATCGGTTCAAAGTCAAAGTGGCATAATTGTACCCACCTTTCAAGAGTTTTGTAAAAATGTATACATTTTAAATGTATAAATGTGGTTATTGCGTCATTTAGATTCGATTGAAACCGTTGCTCAGAGAAGCGTCTTTTTTTCTTTGATTTGTTTTCCGTCGATCTGTTTTCCGTACTGAATATGAATGCTACCGACGCCAGGAAGGCAGCTCCCACACCTGGACCCTACCTATCGACCCATCAACCCATGGACCGGGTACCAGCGGCTTTACTTCGTGATCAGGTAACAGGGATACCTCAGAAAATCCGGAGGCGCCGACTGGGATTGAATCCAGGCCTTTTGGGGTGAGAGGCAATCACATTTACCACTACACCACATATTTTCGGGGTGTTATATGGTTTTTTGGTGGTCCAAAATAAAATGTATTGGTCCACATGTTCTGCTTACTTGTTTGTCAAATTGCGTTGTGCAACGATTTCCTTTGGCAGAAAACATTCAGCTCTTTGTAATGACCTGATAAATTTACCATTTATTTGAACAAAATCATATTTTTTTTTAAATTTATACTGACTTCCTAAAGCGGACCAAACCTCCGTTACCCTATCATTCGCTCGGTGGGAGCTTTCTCGTTGGGTTGCTTTCTAGTTCGGTAGTGAGATCGGGGTGATGTCCCAACTAAAAATCAGTTATCTCGTCAGTAAATGTTGTTGAAGTAACCTTGATATTTCATTGTTGTTACTTGGTAGAGATCTTGGGAGCTGTTTTGTATGAAAAATTACAGTTTTATAGTTTAAAAACTATCCTCACTATTGAATTGCACTCATTATATGGGATGAGGGTGCTTTCCAACCAGTAAATGATGACTAAAATAGAAAGAAAAAAATGATTGCGCAATTTTACACATCAGGTATTTATATTTTTAATCTTTAAATCCGCATTAGAACTACCGTTCCGATTCAAATTTCGGACGATTCAAATTTCGGACACTTTTATTTTTAATTAAATATTACATCCAGTTAGAAACAAAGCAATGATGTTAGATGATCGTGGAGGGCACTAGTCAAAAAAATTTAAAATTTACAAGACATGTGGATCATATTCGACCGAGATAATCAACTTTTAAAAGTGTCCGAAATTCGAGTTTAAGTGTCCGAAATTTGAATCGGCACGGTATATCACTTATTGACCTTATTTGTTGGGCATCAATCTTCATAATAATTATATTGAACATTTTTTAAATGGAAAATACTAATCCTTCTCTCTCTCCCATTATATATTTTCAGATTTCTCAAGAGCTACTCAATTGTCAACCACCAAGTGCCATCAATACTGCACTATTATCTATTGAATATGGCAATTGTGATATTGTCAATGCCAGTGTATCAAATCTTTCAACTAAAGAAGACCCTCTGGCAGTACCGAGCACATCAAGGTTAGAGAAACGAAAACTATCTTTGGACGATAGTGCACATCTGCCTCACAAACGCATTGCGAATCTGTCTAGAGATCAATACTCGAGTATCCTGTCAATCGCTTCAACTTGTACCACGCGCGAAGAAGCATACTGTTCTAATATCTATGTAAATGATTCGCAACTATCCGTGCAAGACGACACGCTGTCTGTATCCGTCACCTCAGGAGTGGAAGAAAATTCATCGTCACAAGGGGTTGACGACACTGCTGTAGTGTCCTCCCTAACTGATCCTAACACCCTCAGCCAAAAGTGTACGGCACAAGTTCCAGTTGCTCCTAAAAATAATGACCTTCCTACGTCAGTTAAATTGGCCAAATTCGAAGTCGACTGGAAAATAATTCCAAACGACGTAATGCATCAGCTGCAAGGCCGTCAACCTAACGTTGGATACAGGGGAATATCGGAAACAAACTACAACCGATTTGTTGACCACGTAACTGCTCAAATAAGGACCACAAGTGCAAAGATTCCGTTCTTTGTCTTTAGAAGAGTTGCTCTAAAGATCATCAACAAATATCCCACACTCCGAGATTGCGATGACGAAGGACATACCATAGGTGACGGGTCTAATAGTTTAGCTGACAAACTACGCAATCATAATGCTTATTTAAACAGAGCCCATCGAAGTGAAGTACATACCACACGTCGCAAGGTTTGCTTCAATCGTCGATGTACAGTGGGTGTACGCCCAGAATACTTCAAATCCGGTACAAATCATTGTAGTAAAGACCTTTTAATTGTGCTTACAAGAAAACGAGTTGACAACTTGAACGAAGATGCTTTGATTGGCACAGAAGCTTTCATTCGCCATAAAATTGACAGTTCTATCTATCTACACACGCTGCATCAGGAATTGCCATCGATTGGTAGGAACGAGGTTCTAAACTACCATTTCTATAGAGCCACTGGGTGTAGTGCTGAAGCATTCAGTACTAATTTCGCGAAAAAAAGAGCAAAATTAATCGAAGTGTCGAAGTCTTACAAGCGACCGCTGCATATTCCATCTAAAGCATCTGATTTTGATGTACTTGAAGGCGTTTCAAGATTGCTTGGGGAAAATGTTTCATCGTTAATTCACGAAATTGAGGTAAATGAATATATTTGTCATATCAGTGCCAACATTTCAAAGGGGCGTAATTGCAATTGTAAACAATGGCTTTAGCCGTCGATTTCTCGCGAATAAAAGCTCACTCATGACACCAGCAGGTAGAGGAATGTTTCCTCTACCAGCTAGCATTGTAATTTTGGAGAGGTAAGATTTCATTCGCGAGAAATTGACGGTTAAAGTCATTGTTTACAAAAGCAATTACGCCCTTTTGAAATGTTGGCACTGATATGTTGCCTGCCGTTTATAGATACACTTCTATCTCTTTTTACGACACTTTTTTGGATGCTATTTTTGATCGTGTGATTTCAATTTTCAACTAAATTCAATGCAACTAGTTTTAAAAAATTCAAATAAAAATCAGATGGTATGGGGTCATGCTTTAATTATGTCACGTGAAATTTAGTAAATATTAACCCCTCCCCCCTCTCCTCTTCATCAAGTTTTTCCTATACCCAATATATTGCTTGTCACACATTTCTTCACCTCGCTCCCATTTAGAGCGTGACATAATTTGTGAATCACTCCTATCAAACATGCTTGTATCTGATTGTTTTTTTTTGTACAGTAAAAATCCAACATTGCTACATTTGCACCAACCGCGTAAATGGAGGGATTCTTGCACTATTGTTCACTCGCATGGCCCTTTGACCTTTCGTTGTCAGTGCACAAACTAATATCTTTTTAATTGGTTTTTTTTTGCAATATTTACACAGGATATCCATGAGATGCAGTCAACTGATAACTTCCCTTCAATTGTGTTCCTTGGTAAGTTAATTCAGATTCGTTTAGTTATTGGTTAAAGTCAAGGTAAGTAGAAGGGAGGTAGTCCGATCTGGTTAGTCAGTGGGTGTGGGGAGCGCGGGGAAGCATGCTGCGTGGGGCGGGAAAATGACAGCTGGCTAGCTTCACGGTCAAAAAGAGTTACTCACAAAAGCAACTTATCGATAAAAAAAACGTTACTTTTTGCTTACAATAGGCTCTTTTTTTAATAACAATATACTACAAATATAGTAAACGTTTGCTAAATGTTAGGTAATCGATAATTATCGATAATTTAAGTATGTGTAAATTTTAAGATTATTAGGGATGTGCATTTTAGCGTGAAAGTAACTCGCCAGCTGTCGTAGTCTGGGGTGGGACGTGCTGTCAAATCAGCCTACTGATCATTCTTGTATGAAATTGGTTCCAAACGTAAACAAACCCTGTAGGTTTCTTATGGCTTGTTTACGTTTGGAACCAGTTATGCGAGGTAGGCGAAGATTGTTCGTATTTGACAGTCACCTCCCCCCCCCCCCCTTGGTCGTAGTGCATTCCAATATGGCAGAATGCATAATCTGACAGATTGGAGTACCTCCCTTATAGTACGTTCAGACTACAGAGTTATAACATGTTATAGCGCTATCTTGATGGTGGTTTCTGTGTTGCAATTAGTTGACAACCGTTATAACATGTTATAACTCTCCAGTCTGGCCAGCGTTTTATACTTACCTTGGTTGAAGTGTTACGGCCCAAACGCAATATGGACGGAAGCGGAACGGAAACGGAAAGTTTGACAATTGTCACAAATGACATCAAGATGCCTAACGGAAGTCGATTTGGTTCCAACAAGTTTTCAATCCGACAAGTTAGCTTACTCAGATTGGGTTTTTCCGCTGCCGTTGCCGTTCCGCTTCCGCTGTCATTGCGCTTGGGCCTTTAATATAGCATATTGTGCACATTTACGGAAAGTGCGAAAACGCTAATAAAAGTGCGCGTTTACGTAAAAATTGTTTTGTTGTCTTCGGCCCACTTTTTTCTTGGATCATAACGAAAACAGGTTGGCCAGTGAACCAGGAAAACTGAGAAATAACCGGGAATTTGAAAAGTAACCGGGAAAAATCCGAAAATTCTATGAGAGAACCGGGATGAATCACAAAAACTTCAACATGCGCTTATTTAAAGTGTGTAGATTATTTTTTTTTTGTAAAAGTTTCTCATTGACGATAGACTTTCACTATGTTTGCACAAACTATTCATAAAGTTTATGAAAATTAAACTAAAGTAGTAAACAATGATTTCTGGATCACGAAGATTTCACCACAGACAAACAGACATAACACTCGCAAGTTGTTCATCATACAAGCATTTAACGGTAAATTTAAAAGTATCGTAGTTGGTAGTACCGCCACCTGCGGCACGCATAGTCAATTCCCTTGCGTTTGACGTTTACACACTATCGCCACAAACGAAGTGGCAGACGACTAACTGGCGAAGAAATCCATTTAAATAATGTGGTTCACTGTAATAGAATTTTCTTGGAAGCTTGTGCCATCATTCACCAGATGGGCTAGTTTTTTGTTTTGATTTGAACAAAGTTGATTTTGTGTACAATGATTCTTTGACAGTGTGCAAAGAGTGCGTATCATTTTGTCATTTTTTTATGCATTTCAGTTTTGAGTAGAGTGAAAGAGATAGGACCAAAACATTCTAGTACATTCGGTGAAAATGCTAGTTCAATCTAGTAGTAGTGTTGCCATGTGGTACAATCCAGTAGTAGTGGTGTTGCCATGTGGTACACTGAAAAATTGCAATAGCAGGTTAGTCACCAAAGTTTTCGAGCCGCTCCGTCTGTCACTTCGTTTGTGCTATCGCCATCTGTACTGCGTACTACCCACCATAGTGTACTCAAAAGATGGCGGTAATGTTTTAGCGACGATGTTTTACAGTGAGAAATATTCAATGTGTTATGTCTGTTTGTCTGTGATTTCACCTCTATTACTTTTTGTATTACTTTTCTCTCAATTATTGGGGCACATTTTTTTTTAATTTTCCGTAATTTTTATCTCAAACTTCTAAGATATGAATGAATATGTAATGTTGGACGTCTCTGATACCACTAACCTGCATAAAATTTAAAATCTAACAGAAATTGGTTCATAATTTGATTTGACTCACCAAAAGTTTTTAAATTTTTAGTAACGTAATTTTTCTACATCAATGGAAATATGTCAATAGGCTTATGCAAATTCCATAATATTAATGGGGCATAAGAAAATGCCCAATTTAGAATTGAAATTTCCTCTGCGATTTTTCATAAAATTACAAAAACATTTTTTTGTTATTAATATATTATTTTTTTCATTATTTAATTAAATAATTATTTTTTTTTCGTCCATTGTTATTTATTTTGTCATAAAAAATAACAAGACTGGGATCTCGAAAAAAAATCTATCGCCGAGACCCGCACATTTTTTCAAAGTCTCAGAGTTATGGAAATTTTTCAAAGTCCCTAAAACTACGATATCTTGAGAATTGTTTATAGTTCGAGATCTCGAATTATCTCTCTGATTCTTAATTTTCCAAGTTCAAGATCTCTCAATCAATTTCGATGTCCAATGTTTAAATTCCCGAAATGCGTTCAAATGACCCATTCGATTCAAACCAATATCAATTTTCCTTAAGCAACCTATTGACAGTTTGGGGTGATTTGTTTACGAAATTTGAGGTTAGAATTAGAAAGTGCACTTGCCAATTAAGTTGAAACATATTTTTTGAAAAAAAAAAAATTAAGTGGTCCTTACACTTACACTTATTAATAAAGAAGTTATACTTTCAATTTCATGAAATGCTTGCTGCAGTCTTGCTACTGAAAATAATTCTCACATGACCTACAAAATTTGCACATGGTTGCGGTTTTGAAAAAAACAACACTTTCGTTTTTCGTTGAATATTAATAACCGGTAAAATTTTGTGATTTGAACCTGGAAAACCGAGAATTTCAAAATTGATTTTAACTGGCCACCCTGTGAAAAAGTGCGCAGAAAAAACCAAGACGATGAGCGATTTTGCAGGTTTTAGGAGTCTAGTTAGAAATGCAAAATACAATAATTGATTTCATTAATTTTTCAGATCAGACCGACAATGGGCAAAAGTTTTTTATTCAGGCCGAAAACACACTATTGACCTTAGGCGTCAATAATATCATTCATGCGTTCCAGCAGCTTTTGGCTGTATATTTTGTGTATTTCTACAAATATCCTAAAGATGTATCCAAAACACTAGAATTTCTCCAAATGTTCCTTTTGAAGCTGTATCCAGAAAATGGCACGCGCTCAACGGCCACTATTGTTGGAAGACATCAGCGTATGGTGACTTCATTACTATCAAAAATATCAAAATTGGATTGGAGAAAACAACAGACCGAAAATAAGAACTAGTCCAGCCTACTCAAATGCCATTGCTTCCAAAATTAAAAAGTATTTTACCCACATCCAAAAACCGAAAAGCATTTTGCACACATCATGTTTTCGATGAGAGAGAAAAGTCTTCATTCACGTAAAACGTCATTTAATCGGAATATATATCTTGGCGAACGTCCTAACGTTGATTTAAAATGGTATATATCTCTCTGCAAAACCAGGAAACAAATATCGAAAGTTGCTTTCCGTGGTGAGTGTTTTTTCGTTTGCTGTTTTTGTTATAAGAATTATTTAATCAGATATTCTCTATTCAAACTGTTATACTATAGCAAAACTATCTGCAAGTTTAATCAGAAAACCTTCATTTGACCGGGATGCATCAGGGAAAGATAAAAAATATCGCCAGTAGCCGAATGATCCTGCGTTTCTACCACCCTATGGTCCCCTTGAACCAAAATGCCGGAGAAAGTCCAACCAGGTAGCTGTATCTTCTACGTGACAGCAGGAATGTTGATTGTCCATGGTGACGGAAGGGTCGTGGGTTTCTACCACCCGGTGGACCGCGTTTCAGCCTGACGGAGAACTATACGCAGTCGTAGTTTTTGACGTAGGACTACGTCTTTAATTTCTATACTGGGGGTCACATTAAAAAAAAAACAAAATCCAGACATGTAACGAAAAATCCCAAACACGGACGCAACGATAGAGCGCAAATCGAACACACGACACATTGTGAGCTCAATGCTCGGTTGACCGCTCACGATTTCACCAATGAAAGGAAGGGAGGAGAAAAGCAGCTATAATATAAACGTTTGCCAATTGGTTTTCTTCGTCATTTGCTTTCGAGCAACGAACGGATAAGCGTCGGACATTAGAGGAACAGCACGTATCGCACCTATACGAAGACGACGACGACGAAAGCACCCACATCGACTGGAGGAAAGGCTTCCCGCAATAGGCAGCATAACTAGGCCATCGTCATTTGGTCGGCATCGACTTGCACTGGTGTGGCCATCATTTGAAAAACAACCGACCACCAATTCAAAAACGGAAAGACCAACATGTTTGTTCTAGCACTAGTGGTCCTACGTCAAGCTTCCGTTCGTGCCCCTAGGCACTGACCTTTCTACTTTTTGACCAACCTTGTGCAGGACTCCACGCATTTCCAGAGGAAGCCGCAACCTGTAAGTTGAAATAATTTTTACAAATTTTAGTTGATTTATTGACGATTCCGTTTTTATCTTTGCAGAACATCCGCGACGAGATTTCTTGCCTTAAACCAGACGGTTAACTAGGCAGAGACGCCATGCTTTCTGGGAACCCTCAATGCCGACCAATACTGTAAGTGCTTCACGCAGTGCCGGAGGAAGTCCATTCAGCTAGCAGTACCTTCAACGTGACCCGAATTCAGTAGGAATGCTGATTGTCCATGGTCCATGGCTCCTACCACCCAATTCCTGCCCTTCAACACGGCGGAGACTAGTCGTTATGCTTTCTGGAAGTCTTTCATGCCGACCAACACTGCGCAGTACTCCACGTAGTACCAGATGAAGCCGTAATCTGTAAGTTCTAATATGTTTTTCTTTATATTTTAGTTCTCAAGTAACATTTGAAAACGGCGTTAACAAACTTTAGTGGACCCTTTACTTGTCACCCGAAGTACGCCCATACAAACCAAAAACACTATTGGGTGGGACAAATTCTCCCCTTCCTAATGATACTGTTGGTTTGCGTGGGCATACTTCGGGGGGCGAGTAAAGGGTCCACAAAAATTTGTTTACAAATGATTATGTGCCGTTTTCAAATGTTAGGTCTCAGTTGATTTATTGCCGATTTCGCTTTTATCTTTTCAGAACATCTGCGACGAGATGTCTTGCCTTCTTCAACCAGACGGTGAACTGGGTGAACTAGGCAGAGACGCCATGTTTTCTGGGAGCCCTCCATGTTGACTAACACTGACAGTGCTCTACGCAGTCCCGGAGGAAGTCCATTTAGATGGCTGTACCAAATAATTGTTAATTGTCCATGGTCCATGGCTCCTACCACCCGGTGGTCCACCCTTCAACCCGGCGGACAACTCGACGTAAAAATCCGTCCTCTGCTGCCGTGTTTGGTGCGAATGAATTTTACTGCCGCCGCTAAAGGACAGATAAATATATTGAATACAATTTTTATTAGGTATTTGTTCTTTTTTCCTTCGAAAACAAACATCTTTTTGCAACGCCGTTGAATCCTACTCAGTTACAGTTGCTCATTAAATTGCATTGCTATCTCTTTTCGTACGCATATTTTACTCTGCTGTAAAAACTGCGATTATTTGTAGCTTTGAGTAACTGCAGTGTTTACAACTGATTAAAATTTATGTGAGAAAAAAGATAACAAAGCAATTTAATCAGCCACGGATACCTATACATCGTTTCTTCTTTACATCGCATCACTTTTACATCGCATTACTATTACATCGCATCACTATTATATCGCTTCGTTTACATCGCATCTGTGTACATCACATTTATTACGTCAGAAAAATTACATCGGTTTTGTGTGTCACATCATTTGATTCTGTGTACATCGTGCAATGTGATATTACACAACCGATGGATTGATCTGGTTGCAGCAGTTTCGATGTAATATTCAACAACTTTTTTTGCTGTGTAACTTTTATATTTTTAACCCATTATCCTAAACTGGGTATATAATACATTTTTTTAAATTGGAGGAAGGAGGTGCAGAGCGAGGTGCAATCGAGGATAATACCGGTTGGAGTTTATCACCAGTCATGATTCAGTCGAAGCTCTTGTTTCTCTTTTGACAACAATAAAGATTGCGTGTGAGATGCAAAACTCAAAATAACGCAAGTTAAAAGAACTCAATCTTTAGGTACTTTTATTTTTCTTTGCTACTACCTGTTTATAGAATAACTTGTGCCGACATCGACTTCCTTTTTGTGTCTAAGTTCACGGATGTCAAAAATTGATTGTAAACAAAAACAGCTCACTTCGCTTCGTATTTTTGTTCACAACACAACACCGGCTCATGAATACATAATTTTATTATTATTATTGAGTTTTTGTGCTAGAAACACCAAAAAATGGTCAGCGAACTATCACGGGGCTTCCGCGAGGACTGCTACACCTTCCTGACCGAGTTCAACCGCCACGAGTCGATGGAATTCCGCCACTTTTGCTACGAGTGGAAGCGAATGAACTTTCAGTTTGTGTTCTAGTAAGTCGGTTCTCGAACAACACTAACTTTTGCTTGAATTAAATATTAATTATTAACCATTTTCAGTGGCCGAAACACGGACGTCGATATGGTCGCCTTCGTGGCGGAAGCACTGACCATTGTGAAGCAGATTTTTCTCAGCTCGAAAAATCCGCTGGAAAAGATTGGTGCGTTCTACCTGCTGTACACTTTGTACTTCAAACAACCAACGGAACGGTTTTGTAAGATTCGAGTAACACTGGTGGACTGGCGAGAGTTTAAACGATTCATTCAACGGCCTGCACCGGAGCAGTACTCGCTGGAGATCGCGGCCATCTTTTGGAAGATGTTCATCGGCGACGCCTTTCGGTTCGTGCAGGACGAGCTGGAATATGGGTATGATTCGTTTTTCGGAAAGGGAACGCAGATGGGGCGGTTCGACGATAAGAGCCGGGAGGCGTTCAAGATCGTCAAGGAGGCGGAGAACGATTTTCTAGCAATGAAGGCCAGTACGGGGTTGTTTACGGCGCTGGATGCACTGGAGATGGGATACAACGAAATGAAGGAATCGTTGGATGGTAAGTAGCGATTGTTTATTAGATTCATTTATTGATTATTTGGTAGGTAGAGGAAAGAGGTGGTCCCAGAAAGCGAAACGTTCGGTGAAGAGACCTGTTTCCATCCTAAGATCTTCTCCGATGTTGAGGTAGTTGTCTTCTTGATCAGTCACTGGGATCCAGTTTGGCTGGTCGATTCCTTTGGCCGTGTTTGGATTACTGAAATTTGATCAGGTTTATGAAATGGCAATTTAGGTCCATGAACAGGGGTTACTTACCCAGTTTCGGCGAAAGCCGTCCACATCCCGGTCAAACGTTCAACAGTCTTGCTTTCCGGATCGGTAGCATTAAAGATGGGTGCCACCCAGGGAATCGATAGCAAGTACAGTAAATCGTCGTGGTGAACAGCTCCATAGGGGGTTCCTTCAACCGGATAGTAAAAGAAACTGTACCGTCCGACGTAGGAAAATTTGTACTGATAGACCGGGGTGTGCCGTGACGCCAAATGCACGAATCGATGCACGGCAAAACCGATTAAACTGTCGGCGAAAAGCTGCAATGGTTGCAATAAATGAGCACGATTCACAAGCGGAACAAATATTAGATTCTACTCACGTAGTTCAATCCCAGCAGGGAGCGGTTTAGACTTAATGGCTCGTTTCCTAGAAATTGCTCCCGTAACTGTCGAGTTATATTCAAACGGTTGGCATAGCCTTCATAGAGGAAAAGTATCGGTGCAAGCGTAACAAAATTCTTATCCAGCTCGTTCCTCAGCGTATCATTTCTCAAAAAATTTACGGCAGGGCTAGCAAACTCGTCCTGCGTAATTCCCGCAATCACCGGGACCTTCACAAAATCCCCTTTCACGAAGGCCTCCGTTGGATCCTGAGTCAAGAATCGTTCTTGACCGAAATCGGGTTCGACTACCGCTGTCCAGAGCAGCACCGGGTTCCACGATAGGACGAACATCGCTTCCAAGCTATCAGCAAAATCCGACGCCGGTTTCTCCCTCAAACACTCGACCATTTGAGCAACGGAATCCGTTCCACACTTAAGCAACTCCGCCTGCTTTCGTGCCAGCTCAATCTGATCGGTCGGAATTTGCACCTGACTCACTCCGGAAGCGCTCATCACAATCACCCGATGGAACAGCCCCCGCGACATCGGTGAAACCATGTGCAAAGTATTGCTCAGTGCGCCGGCACTGTAGCCCATCAGCGTCACTGAATCTGACCTGCCTCCAAACGCCGAAATATG